TATGTTTTGGAGTTTAGTGTGACGTCCATTTTCATTGAACTAGTACACAATTTAATTTAGGGAATAGCTGAGGATCACCTCCGGGTGCGGGATTTTTTCGCTGCGTTGAATACCCATTGGTGGCCTTCGGCTGTTGTCTTCTCTTTGGTCGGGTTGTTATCTCTTTGACATATTCCCCATTTCCATTCTCAATTTTATTTTATTTAATCGTTTATTGTAAAAGGTAACCACTAAAATAAGAAAAGCGCCCTCCGTGTAGTGTTTCACCAGTTGAAGTTTTATGTTAATACGATCCCCTTTCTTCAGATCGAAGATAAACGTCTGGGACTGAGAACTACTGCGTGTTTTGTCCGTATATCCATTAGAAAAGACAGCATCATTCTTGTGTCATTCATACAAAATTGCAGTATCACGAAATGCCATAATCATAGAAAACAAGACAGACAGACCATTTCTAGGAGCTGTGAAAACTCACGTGGTTGGGTTGTAATGGTTTCCAATATTTGTTTCTACATCATCAAACTTTATCACATTGTTGGACAGATTTGATTGCGTTTCACAAAAGCTAGAAAGACAATCCTCTTTTTCGGTTCTAAAACAATTACACAGGCTTATTAACTTGGACTTTCATCCAAAAATATACACGGTAACTAAATTTTTTACTTTTTTCTTGGAATTAATGATTTCTAAACTTTTTAATCCCCTAGATATAATTAAATGCGATCATTTTATTGTTGTCTTTTTGTATTCATTCTTAAAATAAAATAATATTTATGCAACAAGCATACAAACTAGATATAGATACCATGATTAAATTTTGCACGCCAGACACGCGTTTTGTCTACAAAAGACTCATCAGTGACGCTAGAAAACAATATGGACAAATAGAGTACGAAGTTGAAGAGCATTATAGACCCGTAAATTCCGAAAAAAAAAGTGTTTGCCTAATAACACTAGCGTAATACACGCACAATCACCTTTCAATACGTTATAAGTTAAAATCCAGTAAATACAACACTATACATGCATACATTTCCGTAGAGTATACGTAAAAAGGGATGTACAATGGTACATATGTAAAACCAGTCACGGTTGTCAGTTTCTTGTAAAAAATTTTCAAAGCAGAAACTAATTTATCAATTTCCATTAACATTCCGAACGAAATATATAAAGAATTCATTATTATGATTATTTATCTGGTTTTCTTTAAACTTCTTCTGTTAAATTTTATCTGCTCGACAAATAAGAAATAAGGAAGCACTTTTGAACATTCGCTGCACTCGAGCTTTTATAGTTAACCTATGATCAAAATTTTTAAATCCAGTAAAAAGACCCTGATTTATTGCCCGACTTTGGCTATACTTTTTGTCCTTTCTGGTCCATAAGCTATTCATTTTTAGAAAATAAGTTTTTGATTTTCAAATAGTTTTGTCTCGAGCATTACTAAAGATACATTTATTGTCGAAATGCGAATCTGGTTCAGAAAAATTGGTACCGATAATGTTGTTAATACAAATCAAAGTGAAAACAAAAACTGAGAGAATTGCATTTACTCGAAAAACATAAGAAACGGTTTTGTCGACAGAACAGGCCTCCTTCAATGCATGATAGATGTAAAGAAAGGTATATATAATATTCTGTTGCTTTAAGTAATTGTAAAAGGAATTTTATATAAACAGAATATACCTGGTATTATGTCACTTTGTCTGTTTACTCTTATAAACATCTGAAGTAGATCTTCTGTGATACACGTGGTCTTTCCTATGATACATAACATAAATTAAGTTAAAAAGTGAGTTAATCGCTTGCATTTACTGATTGATTATTGATTAATTACAGCTAACACCTTCTGGGTGTTAGGGTTCAAGTATTGCATATCTTTTTATTAGATAAAGCGGTTTGTATCATTTACATGAAAATTTTAAATGAACAACTTTTCAGACAGTGTTTATAGATCAAGCGAGATAACTAACGGATGTTTTCCCGAATTAGCTGCATTGAGATTTAACTGTTAATGGGTATCTCGTTCTGTGATGTTATGGAAAATAAGACTCAGCGTATGCAAAAAAAGTTTTCAAAAACCTTTCAAAAGATGCATTGAAGTCCACATACGGTACTCATCGATATATTTGTCTACATAGACAATATTTCAAGCGCCTTCATAAGCTGTGAAAATATTCAACAGAGACTATCAAAAATATTATTAACAATAAACCTAGATGACTTTATTCAATAATAACGGTATGAAGGAATGAATCCCCCCCTATTTTTTGTAATCCAACAAAGCCCTCACACAAACAAACATATAACAAATATAAGCTCAACAATAAATCAATATCGACTCAAAGAATAATGATGATGCCGGTAGAGAGTTCAAAGTTCTTAACCTGAAGTTATTAAATCATGCTGTCATTAACTCTGAAGTACATGAAGTCCATAACAATCCATGAATATAAAAACTGTCTAATATATGCGAGCCGACTGCATATTTGCCTATTATTTTTGCATTATTTCAATTAACCTTTGTAGTACTTTTTTTTAATTCCAGGAACGTATCGGATTCTCACAATTTATTTGATCTGTTGAATGATTTGCTCGTTGAGAAGAGCTCAAACACATCAAACGAAAGGATAACAACTGTCATATTCCTGACTTGGTACAGGCATTTTATTATGTAGAAAATGGTGGATTCAACCTGGTTTTATAGCTAGCTAAACCTCTCACTTGTGTGACAGTCACATAAAATTCCATTATATTGACAGCGATGTGTGAACAAAACAAACAGACCTAATAGGTGAAAATGTCAAAAATAGGGGTACAGCAGTCGGCATTGTGTTATAATCTTAATCACAACAAAAACAAACAAATATGTCAACAAAGAAAAACAAAAAGGCATATAGAGAAAGCACATTAGCAAAAACGAAAGACAAGAATATAAAAAATTACTATAGCACAATAACACAATGACGGGATGTATAAGTACCGAGCCACGTCAAATGGATATTACAAAAAAATAACTAAACGGTAAAATTAATAATTATCAAATACAAATAAAAGAATACTATACCACGTTATTAAGATGATAATCAACGTCAGTATCTGGAATCTATACTTCAAGACCATCGTGTATTATTTGTGAAGTTGATACGGAATAGTTATCAACAAGGTCTAGGTATCTTTCGATGAACTTTTTTTGGAAAAAGGACGAGACGATCACCCCCAGTTTTTGGTGGGGTTCGTGTTGCTTAGTCTTTAGTTTTCTATGTTGTGTCTTGTGTACTATTACTTGTCTGTTTGTCTTTTTATTTTTTAGCCATGGCGTTGTCAGTCTATTTTCGATCTATGAGTTTGACTGTCCCTCTGGTATCTTTCGCCCCTCTTTGACATACCCCTGGTTCATCAACTTTCTTTTCAGACACTGGTGACGTTTTACAAAGTCTGAGTAGCAGCTGCAAGCTCTTAAAAACCGAATGAGTTGGGAATTGTATATCCCATATGCAGGTGAGGTAGGTATATTGCTACTAAGGTGAAATGCTTTTGTAAAATCTACAAAAACTATTGATCTCCTCAATATTGTATGTGTCTGCATAGTCTTTAACCTTTGAGTTTGTCTCAGATTAAACTCAATAAACCTTTTTCTCATCATAACCGATTTGATCTTCACTTAAAATTTTTGGAAGTACACCTTTTTAATATCTTTTAGGAAGAAATATGACTCTTAATGAATATCAAAGTTAATATACTGGTGAGATGTGAATATGGTAAACGTTGTCGATCGTAGCCGGTATTTAGGATATTCACAATTAATAATTTTAGTATATCCCAAAATTGTCTATACGTTTTTATCACAAAACCATCAAACCCAGGAGATTTATTTAATTTGTTCTAGATGTCGATAATGCATTCCTCTACCTAATTTTCCATCACATAGTAAATCCTTTTCGTCCACTTTATTTTCCATCTTTCTGTCATTGATATACTTTTTTATGTAAATATTTTGTTTTAAATTTATACATTCTAAAAGTTTTCCTAGACATCGCCTATGGAGTAGATTATCATTCTCGCACATAAATTTTGTCAAGCACTTTAATTAGATTTTTTTAATCACGGATGTGAAAAAGTCAAATTGAAAATCAGCATTTGAAGAAATTTCACCAATTCAATAGTTTGCAAATTTCTTTAACTACAAGACAGAGATGGCTTTCTGTTTCATTACAAATCTACATCTGTGAAATAGGACGTCACTCTGAGAGACGGAAATTAATAAATATAAGAGGTAGTGTACTCTAAGAATAATGATTTTTTTTCAAATTTTCCTTTTTCAAATATGATTTCAATAGGTTATAAGAAAAATGAGGTTTTTGTTTTATTTAGAGATGTATCTATTTCAACTTGAAAACAAATAAAATGTACAACCCCTGCTAAAAACCAATATGAATGAATAAACTGAGTCAACCTTTATGCGGCTCAATGAAAAAAACCAAATTAAAATGACTGTTAATGATCAATATACGTTCTTCAAAACAAGAAAAGTATCATTAAAAATACATGTACCCAGTGTAAAAACGGTTACAATATTGAAAAAAAAAAATCGAATGAATGGAATAAAACCATGGAGGATCAACATTACTTTCCTAAATTATCCACAAAAACCTCTACGATCTGTTTAGTGCAAAACACTGACAAATTTCTTAGAGGGTATTTAAAGCGAGCGTTGCGTTTATGATTAAGAAAAGTCTTGGTAAGAGTCATCGGTAAAGGAAACACGTCTGACGTACCAAATAATAACCTCTTTGCTCCTTTCACACAAAAATATTTCGATAACAATCGACCGTAAGTTATATTGAAATGTTCATGACTTACCAGTTTTTTTTCGTGTTATATATTTTTTTGAAAAGGGTCGCTGCTATCTTTACACTTGTTTCCCAGTCATCGAAAATAAAAGTAAGATATAAGTAGGTATTTTATACATTTATGGACGCAAGTTATAAAATCAAGTCTATATTAAAACATGTTTTAATTCTTTTATTGTAAAAGGTAGCCACTGAAATAAGAAAATCGTTCTCCGAGTAGTTTTTCACTACTTGAAGTTCGGTGCTTTATGTAAATACGACCCCCTTTCTGCAGTTCAAAGATAAATGTCTGGGACTGAGAACTACTGTATGCTTTGTCTGTATATCCGTAAGAAAAAATAGAATCATTCTTTCGCCAATCATACTGAATTGTTGTACTACCATATGCCATAATCATGGAAAACAAGACATAGAGGCCATTTCCAGGTGCAGTGAAAACTCCAGTGGTAGGGTTGTAATGGTTTCCAATATTTGTTTCTACATCATCAAACTTTATCACATTGTTGGACAGTGTTGGATGATTCTTCACGAAAGCTAGGAAAGCAGGCCTCTCTTTTTGTCATGAAACAAAAACATTGGCCTATTAACTAGGAATAACATTTATATATTCAGGTCAAATTAATTTTTAATATTATTCGGCTTTACATTAACAATTTCAATAAAAGAATTTAGTATCTAACTGATATTATTATGACAGTACAGTGTACAAATTGTGATAGTACTTTTATTTGCATACCTTCTTATCTATATCTATACAACAAACAGACCAACTAGAACACACATTAGAAAAAATCCAAACAAACAAGCAACTTTACAATATATTTTATGAAATATGTTTCAATAGAGTATACATTAAATTATTTATACAGTGCAAGTCTATCACTTATACGTGAGGACAATAACAGTTGTCAGTTTCTTGGAAAATATTTCTTAAAGTAGAAACTAATTTGTATACAACTCATAACATTAAGAACATTAAGAACATGAGATATATAGAATTCGTTATTAAGATTATCTGACCGCTTTTCTATGTACAACTTCTTTGTAATTTGATCTGCTTGACAAATGTGAAAGCCATTTTGATCATTCTCTGTATTCCCCGATTTCTAGCGTTTCATTGTTAAACAAGGCAAATATATATGTTGTCATTGATTAGCAGTAGATGCAACAGTAATTTTCTCACATATCCACCGAAAAGGTACAAATCAAACTTTAGAGAAAATACTGAGGTTACAGTAGGACTGGGTGTGTCGACAGGACAAGGTCTTCTGCAATGCATGCACCACCCGCCATGTGATCATAGAAACATGAGATTTGTACAAAAAGTTCAAAATTTTCGTTTTCTTGAATTGTATAGGAATTAAAGATGAATAAATCATACCTGGTTTTATGTCACTTTGTCTGTTTACTCTTATGAACATCTGAAGTAGATCTTCTGTGATACAAGTTGTCTTTCCTATAATACACAGTATGAATTAAGTTAAAGAGCCTGTGTCCCTCACCTTGTTCTATGTGCATATTCAACAAAGGACAATTTCCAACATTGTAGACAAGAATAGAATTCATGAAAGAAATCTGTTTTGTTGATCTTGTATTGCTGATCATTTAGCCTGTATAGTTTCTGTCTATCTTCTTCTCAAAACACAAAAGAGGATAAAAAATCCTTATTTAAGGGCAATCACTCCTATAAAGAGTCACAGTCTACTTAACTATATCAGCAAAATTTGACTTGTTAGTAGATCTTGCCTTGCTGATCATTTTTGTGATTTAAAGTGTATCTTTATCTATTATAATTTTCTATCATATATGACAAAACGCAAAAAAAGGGTGAAAATCGTCTTCAAAGGGCAATAACTCCAATAAGGAGTCGGGTGACCATTTCCTCCATATTGTCTTCATTGTAGTTTTTGTTTTGCTGATCATTTTTGCCTAGCTAAGTTTCTATTTGTCTATTATAGTTTTAAGATATAAGGCAAAAAACGCCAAAAAATGGTCAAAATCATCATTAAAGGGCAATAACTCTAATAAGGAGTCAATTGACGATTTCGAGCATGTTGACCTATTTTTAGAACTTGTCTTGCTGATCATCTTAAAGTTTCTCTGTATCTATTATAGTTTTTAAGATAGTAGGCAAAAATGAAAAAAAGAATGGTTTGTCATTTAAGGGCAATAAATCTTATAAGAAGTCATCTGACAGTTTTGACATGTATAGACAAATTCCTGATCATATTTTCTCTTGTCAGATTTTCTCTCTTTATAATGGTTTTCAAAATAAAAGACAAAACTTGCATTTTACCTCCTATGTTCTATTTTTAGCCATGTTGGCCATCTTGGTTGGCAGGCGAGGTCATCAGACATATTATTTAAATAGATACCCCAATGATGATTGTTGCCAAGTGTGATAAAAATTGTTAAAGTAGTTTCAGAGGAGAAATATTTTTTAAAAGATTACAAAAATTTACGAAAAATTGTGAAAAATTGACTATATAAGAGGTCAATTGACAATTTTGGTAATGTTTGACTTATTTGTAGATCTTACTTTGCTGAACATTATTGCTGTTTGCAGTTTATCTCTATCTATAATAATATTCAAGATAATAACCAAAAACTGCAAAATTTCCTTACAAGTACTTATTCAGGAGCAGCAACCCAACAACAGGTTGTCTGATACGTCTTAAAATTTTAGAGCAGATAGATCTAAACCTGATGAACATTTTTAGCCCGTCGTATTTGCTCTAACTACTTTAGTTTCGGAGAAATAAGCCAAAAACTGCATTTTACCCCTATGTTCTATGTTTAGCCATGTCGGCCATGTTGGTTGGCAGGCGGGGTCATCGGACACATGTTTTTAACTAGATATGATATAAAACTCAATTTGCTGCATATGGTTTTAACTGTTTCTGGGGATTCGTTCTGTGAAATATTAGTTTGTTAAAATTGGTTGGCAGGAGGGGTCATCGGACACATTTTTTTAACTAGATACCCTAATGATGATTGTGGTCAAATTTGGTTGAATTTGTCTATGTAGTTTCAGAGTAGAAGATTTTTGTAAAAGTTAACTGACGATGACGGACGACGACGATGACGACGACGATGATGATGACGACGGACGACGGACGCCAAGTGATGAAAAAAGCTCACTTGGCCCTATGGGCCAAGTGAGCTAAAAAGTGAGTTAACTGCTCACAGTTACTGATTGTTAATTGACTAATTACAGTTAATAGTTGCAATATGATGATAAAACTCAATTTGCTGCTGGGGATTTCGTTCTGTGAAATATGAAAAATAAGACTCGGCGGATGCACCCAAATTTAAAAAAAAGCCAACAAATGATGTATTTAGGTTTGCACACAGTACCCATCGATGTGTCGAAAGACAGTTCAAAATTTTTAACTTAATTTAAGAAATCATGTTTTCTTCAAATTCCAGGAACTCCTTGGATACTCACAATTAATTTGATCTGTTGAATGACATGCTCGCTAAAAAAAAGTTAACTGCAAAGTATAATGGTACTTACAATTGAAAACGAATAGAAACACTTTTAAGAGCTTAGTCATGAATGTTCATAATATATTTGCCATTGGACTAGACAAATTATATTATTTGCCCTATCAACTTCTTGTAAACTATTACATTTGGTTTATTTGATGCATTCTGTGGTTTACCTTAGGGTCTAAGAATTGTCCCATCTACCAATTTGTTCATGAAAACAAACAACTTATTACACCTACCATGACCAGCATTACAGTCTCCTGAAACACTAACAATCATAGTCAGAAAGGCAAGGATAAACTGTATTCTCATCTTCATAGTGTGTACTATTGTTGGATAGCAGGAATGATGTTGACTATTTTTCGTTGGTTTTATGCCAGTGTTATACATCTAATGAACACATTGCATGTCATTTAGTCAAAACAAAATGAAACCTGATATTTTAACAACCACGTAGCAGCATGAATAAAAATTGTCCTAATCCTAGGAAATGATTTTTAAATATATTTAATTTTAATCCACCATTTTCTACATTAGAAAATGCCTGTACCAAGTCAGGAATATGACATTTGTTATCTATTCGTTTGATGTGTTTTAGCTTTTGATTTTGCAATTTGAATAGGGACTTTCCGATTCGAATTTTCTGCGGAGTTCGATATTTTTGTTATTTAACTTTTTTCTTTTAATATATTTAAAAATTTAACTAGCTTGCTTGGTCGAAAAGATAACATGAGAATTTCTTCTAATCGCTTTACGTCCCACATCTTCAGAATGTTTTTATTTTATAAATGAACGCTTCAAAAATCATCGAAGCCTATTTTATTTCTACCCCCTTTGAAAATTCAAAGGTCAAATGGCACGTCTACATATGAACATATGACATCGTGAATGTAAACAGAAAGGATCAATCGTTTTGCATATAAGCAATACCATGATATATTATATTTTCCACAGGAGATACATATGTATAAACACAACATAAGGCCATTGAAATATATCATGAGGTTTTCATAAAACAAAGATGTATCAAAACAAAACGTTTAGGACATTAATCAACATAACAATCACATTTGAGAAAGGACGCAATTAGTAACTGACTTACTTAAAGGAAGAATAGACACAACATAGAGGAAATGTAAATGAACGTAAAGATCATAAAGTTTAGAGGTATTCACAGAATATACTGTAGTTACAACATAATGTAATGCATATTGCAAATTACACACAACAAAGCATATCAATGACATATCATACAATTGTTTGACAAAACAAAAAAATATTTTGACATAACACAGAGATGCAGCATCAGGAAATAAAGGCACTTACGCATAACGTGAAGAAGAAATGACTCATTAAATACTTACACTATAAAACAATTACGGCATTGTATAAAAATCTTTCACCAGTAATAGTTTGCTCGTAGATATTAAAAAGCTCTGTTTACATACAATATAAGATATAACATGTAGAAATTATTTTGGCCATCCGCTAACAAAAACAAAAGGTAAATATTTTGATAAATAACAAAGTGCAGAATTACTGGACAAACAAGATTCTTAATGACTCAAAGGTGTACACAACTCTTCAATATATGAACTGTCAATATACCATCGGGTACATACATCTGTTGATAACCACAAAGACTGCAAACAATTGTAAGAATTCCTGCGATACAAACATCTTTCTTTTCAATCTAATCGAGCTGCATTCAAGAAGAATATAGTAAGTCCAATATGTACGTTTTTTATCAAGTGTCCTGAAATTTTATCACATTTTCTTCCAACATGTAAATTACATGAAAAAGTGAAATCACAAAAATACTGAACTCCGAGGAAAATTCAAAACGGAAAGTCCCTAATCAGACAGGACAGGAAAAGATTGGTTGAGATAATAGTTAACATAAAAAATTTAAGCAAAATCTTGCGTAGTGTAGATTAAGTTCCTAGATGTTTGTTATCAGTATACATATACGGAAAACGCCCCAAAAATAAACTAAACTTTTTATTGCAAAATTATCTGTTAATTGTATATAACGGTGATTCAAAAGGAAAAGCTATTTTAGTAATACAGATTGTGTAGTGGAACGATCATATTCTTAACTTGGGTTATAATTTCGTGTGGTGAAGGACACTGTTTTATTCAACTCCTCGGAGGTGTGCCTACATTGGCAATATTTTTTCAGATACAGAACTGAGTAACACATGCAACACCTGCTGAAAATCATGTTAAGGTTTGTGTTAAGAATTCAAATTAATATATTTGCATAACGGGTACTTCATTTATATCATTTTGTAAACATTTCGTCAATATATTGAAACACTTGCATTGAACATTTCGTTTTAAAACAAGTAAAACGAAAGTAGGAAAACGATTTTTTATTTAACAGGCACTCGTCTCTAAAAAAATTTACTTATATACTTAAATATAACTCTTGTCTCTAAAAAAACCCATTTGGACTGATAAAAGTCTATACATCGGAACTTTTTCTTTAACAAAAATGAGTAATTACTGAGAAAGAAATTTCCACTCTTGCCCGATTTTGATTTTTAGTCGGATTCACTATAGTTTTTCTACTCTGGTGTATAGGAATAAAATTTATTATTCCCAAATCAACAGAGCCAATTTGAACCACAAAATAAATTTTAAAGATAATAATTTTACCCCCCTTTTACTATATGGACCTATAATCATGTTATTTTTTAACAATGTCTGGTTTCCCATCTTAAGAGGGCTCGCGGGTTCAAATTTTCGCGCCAACTGCGCAGGAAGTAGCGCATCGATATCGCAAGTCATCCTATTGTCGTAATTGTCAATAATAATTAATTTTGATTATTATAAATAATCTATTTGATTTAAATATATAACAAAAGAATGTTGTTATCGAAAACTGTAATTCTAGAATTTTACAAACAAATTTATTGCTATTTTCATTGTTGCAAATGCACTTCCGTTTTGTGGTAATGGCATGTTCTTGCCGGCGTGAGAAGATAAACACAAGATAAATCACAATAATCGAACACGTGGGCTGCTTTTCATGAATACTGAAACAAAGATCGAAAATATTAGAACACGATCCTTATTTTAGTAGCTTATGAAGCAGTTTCACACTTGTTTTACACTAGAAAATATGCGTAAAATGTATGTAATATTTTGTAAACAAACAAGGAATATAAATGTAAACTATTCTTCTTTAAGTTTCTACCGATGCGATCCTTCGTTTATTGAAGATATATTTTACATCGTGTTCGAATGATCCCAGCACAAGAATGATTCACGACCGTAAAATCATTTGAAAGTTATTTTTTAACGGAAATGGGAAAAAAAAAGCAAAAAACAGGGACAAACATTAATGTGTATTATAAATTATATAAAATTGAGAATGGAAACGGGGAAAATTACATGTCAGGACAACAATCCGACCAAATAGCAGAAGATGACCTGTGGCCACTATGGGTATAATGGGTCTTCAACACAGCGTGAAAATCCAGCCCCTGGAGGCTGGGTCCAGCTAGCCCCTAAACAATAATGTATTGTCCAGGGAAAATGGACGTCACACTTAACGCCAAAACATATAAATGAACCAAAAATTAAAATACATACAAGACTAAAAAAGACTAGAATTTCACGACTTGGGATAGGGTGAGGAGCAAACAATATTTCAGCGAGGTTAAACATGTTTTGTCAGATGTTAACCCTCCACTGTCTGTAACCAATGTGGAATAAGCAAAAACACAGCAATACCCACACTAAAATGAATGATGCTCATTGTACACTGTACTTGTGGTAAATGTTATGACACATTTTTTACAGACCACTTAGGGTCCAGGAGTCGTTTTCACATTAACATGGTTAATCTTACAACTTAGATCGATAGTACAATGTAATTCATGGTGTGTTGACTAAATCACTATTTATTTGCAACTTGGCAGTTGTGTTATATAGAAAAAAGAAGATGTGGTATGATTGCCAATGAGACAACTCTCCACAAGACCAAATGACAACCACTGAATTACAGGCTCCTGACTTGGGACAGGCACATACATACAGTATGTTGTCTACATCAGTCACCATAAGTAAATTAATACTAATGACTATTTGACTTTTCGGGGGAAAAGGCAGGATTTTTTTTTTGCAAACAGAATTTTCATTTACTCTGTTGTTAGTTTAGATTATTAGTCCCCTACCGACGAAGTCGAATGGGACTTTTGGTTTGCACTCTGTCAGTCTGTCTGTCTGTCCATCCATCAGTAACCCCACCACCCTCTTTTTCTAAAATTCTGGGTCACTCCTGTAGATTATTCATGTAAAACTTGGCACATATCATACTGTGTTGATTATTTAATGATAACATGGATACGGTGAGGTGCATATTGAACTATATATTTCAAACAATTTACTGTTGTATTAAAATTTTGTTCTCTTTGTTAAATTTTATGTCAAATGTCTTAATTAATAAAGTTATATCAGTATGTGTTTTGCTAGAACAGTACACTTTTCATGGACAGAATTAAAAAGTTAGATTAATTCAAATCGGGCTATGCTTATAAATTAGTTGGAATTGAAAAAGGGGGGGTACATGTAATAGTTCTTATAATTATTTTCAAAGTGGCAAAATGTAAAAGGTTATTCAGGTTATTTCATTGATTCGTTACTTTTATATTTTCTTTATTACATACAAATGAATGTACATTTTTAGTATTTTTTAACATATGGGAAGTGAACGGCCATACTTTGAGTTAGAGCTGGTAGATATTCTATGATTTTAATATATATTTTTGCCTAAAAGTAGAACATTATATAAAAAAAAAAGATGTGGTATGATATCCAATAAAACAAAAGAACAAATGACACAGAAATTAACAACAATAGGTCACTGTACCGCATTCGACAATGAGCAAAACCCATACCACATAGTCAGCTTTAAAAGGCCTGTAAAAATTTAATTGAGAAGGTGCAAGTCTAGTGTGTTTTTTTTATATTTTCATTTACCAGGTATTGTCTGAAAGAAATGCAGGTAACAAAATGTTACAAATATGTTTCTAGGATTTCGAAAAAAGGAGCAAAAGCCTTCCCAAACTAGGCAACGGTTGAAGTGGGACATGTAAAAAGGCTATGAATTAACCATATATGTACATCCCCTAAATCCACCTCTTTAAAATAATGAATAGACATTTTTATAGACTTTGCATGACCTTAGACATGTTAGAGTAGGGAATTATAAAAGAGTTGACAAAGTAAATATACAATCTTTATTAAAGACAGTACTGATATATCTATTTTAATCATGTAGCTTAGGTAGTTTATTTTTTACATTAATTTATTTAACAATGTTAAATGCCCTAATATATTA